CTCTCTCGAAGTGCTCCAAATCCAAGCTGAGATTTGTGCTCCACGGCATTTGGCCCACCCTCCCCTAAAAAACACTGAGCCCTAGGCCTTGAGAAGAAACAATCATAACACCTAAGCTCGATCTCCGCACTCTGAACCATCAACTTTGAACCCTACTGAGTAGACCTTACCCTCTCCATCCTTAAGCCGTAAACCATCCTAAGCCCTGAACCTTAAACCTACAAGCCCTCCAAATCCGAAATCCGACCAAGTCTCAAGTGGGCATTTACCCCTAATAAGGTAGGTGTCCGTCTTATGCAGCGACTTCTGGAAACAGCTCCTAAACGGGACTTTTTTTGGGGGGTGGAATTTCAACTTTTTCCTGAATAGACAGCCATCATGATATTATCATTCTCTCAAGGTAGCATTTATTTCCCGGGGGGCTTGACATGGTGTGCCATTCTCCTGAAGCCTTATACCCAACCCTTGAAATTTAACCACAGCTAAGGTGGCATCGGCTCGATGCGGGCGGCCATTCTACGTGCCTGGAAGCCAAGGTTCGAGCGTTGCTCGTATACCAGGCAGACTAGGGTCTAGGGTTCTTAGGGTTTGATATGCTCCACGCTGCTCGGGCTTGTCCGTTGGCCTAGGGGTATCGCTCGCCGCTGGCAGCGCCCGCGGCTCGCTCCAGTTCAAGGTTGGGGAATTCGGGGGTTTGGGTATATATCAATATAAAGCTGAAGGTTTTTGATCTGTTCTGTGCTGCTCGGGCTCGTCCGCTGGCCAAGCGGTATCGCTCGCCGCTGGCAATTGTAGCGCCCGCGGCTCGCTCCAGTCAGGGCTGAGTGATGAGGGTTTGGGAAGAGGATTTAGGCTACGGGTTTTTTGACATGGTCAGCACTGCTCCGGTTCGTTTGCGGCCTTGGCAGTGCTGCTCGCCTGTTGCGATCGCAGCGCTTGCGGCTCGTTCTAGTTCAGGGTTTTGGCAAATTTGGTTGTGGGCATTTAGGGGTTAGAGTTTTCTTGAAGTGTAATAGCAACACTTTACTAGTTTGGGAGTAGCCCCCCAAGACATAAACAAGTACTTCCCGGTTCTGACCGTCCGACGCCATTATAATAATAAACATGTCTACTTAGAACGGCTTCGGGCTTCGGGTTGCTTTCCAAGGCATCTGGCAGGTGCGCTCGTCGGCAAGTACTCTGAGCTACATGGACATTTGAAACCAAAGTTCCCAAAAACGAAAACCCATAACAAACAGCAAGAAACCAAACAGACCCGTTTCTAGATATCGTGTTCGCGGGGGATGAAATTCACGTGAGCATTCATCGCCTTGGAGGAGGGCGGCTGGCACACAATCGATGTGGATACTTCGTCACATCTCCGCAAAAGCTATGGCATCACGAAGCCTTAGGTGAATTCGCATCGCCCCAGCACACGTTGATGTTCCATCTTCTTCGGTGCGCAAAATTTGCAAGTCTAAATCTAAGTTCACATGCCATTTGAATTCCGTGGAATATTCCGTAATGTCGATATTTTCGTTTTGTAGCTTCTAAATATGTTGTTTGAGCACTTTTGCGTCGTCTCGAGTCCGAAGGCGACGATGTTGACATTGACACGGAACTGCAGAATGCACTAGGCCAAATTGATGATGACTCCCCAGCAAGTGAGGTCCAAAATGCCCAACTAATGTGTAGATGGTCAAAGACGCCTTCACACCACCGCAGATTTTGTGAATAGGACGCAGTTTTCGTATAGCGTCAGGCACAGCATCATTTGTGCCCATGATTCTTTTCCAGGCATCCCGTGCATGCCTTTCTCATCATCGGCAACAAGCAAGAACTCCAACAAGAGCTCATAAGATACGTTGGTAAGGCACGTATCTTCGTTGTAGATGACGTTCACGCGAACCAGCCGAAACGAGGTATTCTTTCAAACCCCACCCTCCCCAGCACAGCAGCATGATCAAACGTGGCTGTGGGTCGCGCTCTTTCACCAGCACTTCTCGAGCCAACTTCACGTTCAGGACAGGAAAATTTTCAGGACTCATATGGCTGGACTGTTAATTCCGGGGGCGCAAACAGATGATGACCAACCTGAAACGCTAGGACAGAAACATACCGAAACACAGGAACCATTTTGTTGGAAGGCTGCATTCGCAGCTGTGGAAGTTCGCCCGGCCACACCAGCTGTTTGAAACATATCTTTGCCGCAAGGTCGTCATCAACCATCCTGATGGCTAGATACTGAGCGAAAACGAATTTCGGCACAAACGTACCTGAAGGCAGATGATCAGCCATTTAAAACTGGGTTCAGTAAGGTTATCAGGTACGACCTTCCTGCACATGCAAATAAACCGCTGCTCGCTCCACTTGGGGGTTTCGAGATTATTGGGCTTTGGCGGAGAGACTAAGTTCTACGGTTTTGATATGTTCCGGGCTGCTCGAGCTCGTCCGCACGCCTACATAACAATATTGCTCGCCGCTGGCTACTGCAGCGCCCGCGGCTCGCTCGAGGTCAAGGTTGTGGGATTAAGGATTTGGGGCTCAGGGACTTATATGTCTGAGGTTTTTTGATAAAGGTTCTGTGCTGCTTCGGTTTGCCCGCTGGCCAAGCGGTATCGCTCGTTGCTGGCAATTGCGCTGCGCGCGGCTCGCTCCAGTTTGGGATGAACGATTAAGGTTCCGCATGGGCATTGGGCTCAGGATTTTTTGAGATGCTCCACTGTTCGGGCTCAAGCCTGGCCTAGCGGCATCGTCGCCTGCAGCTCGCCCCAACTTTACAACTCACAGGTATAGGTGTTCGAAGTTCGGGTTTTGTATATGCAGACGGTTTCTTGAATTTCCTCCGGCCTAATGGCATCGCTCGCAGCTGGCTAATATCGCTGCGCCCACAGTTTGCTCCAAAACTGAACTGCAAGGTTTAGGAACTTTGGTTTGACAACGCGCGGCCCTCAAGGACCCCAGGCCTGCGTGGAGATTACGAAGGAGTCTTGGTGGTTCCCGCGTAAGATCTTGCAAGAAGCTTGCACATAGGGCTGCGGCTGGCGGTAATTGCCAAGGAGAAAAGTATGTAAGCTAGTGCACCATTTCGCATCCACAATGGAGTGCTGTGCAAGGATTGGAGTTGCAAACGTAAGCTAGACATTTGGGCACAGCTTGGCTGCATGTTTTGTTTTCGGCCCCAGTGGTCCATGGGGAGCAGGTTCAACATTGCTTCATCATCTGCCTTCACACATCGCTTATCAACATATCCCAACACGGGGCCCGATAGTTTTTCTTTCCATGTTCGTAGTATCGTATTTTACCGCACCCATGCGCTGAGTTGGAATACACTTGCATTTGGGTTTTTTTGGGGGGCAGTTTCGGTGGTTTTTTTGTGGCTGCTATAGCTTGTGGAGGCTTGAAAACCACTTTGTGACGTAAACACCGAAGAAAACTTGAACTCCAACTTCAAATGCCCAAGCCCCTGCAGCTAAAGCGTGGGTTTTGGGATTGGCATTGTAAGGGCCTTCCATGCGATGGCCAACACATGCGTACGCATGCATACCGCTGCCAAAGTTCTTCGCACCAGAATTACTTGCCCACATCCAAGCAACCTGAGTAGACCCCCATTACAAGGAAAGTAATCAATGGAATGCTGTTCTGGGTTTCTATTTGGTTTTGGGGAGGCTACCCATTACCAAAGTGGCGTTGCCCTTAGGACGGAAGTGGTTGGCGGTGGCGGCGAGAACGCGAGGCTGCCCGGCTCAGGCTTTACGAGTTCAGGGCTTATGATGTATGAGTCTCCGTCCCGATAGCTGAAATTGTGTAATCTCAGACCGCACAAATTTCCAAGGTTTACTGTTAGGAAATTTTCGGCCGTAATTATCAATGTGACATGTGGGCTTGCTATGAAACATTTATGGCTTAGAGGTCTACATTGTAGGGTTGGTTTGAATGGGCTTTTGCACAGCGACGTGGTTTGCAATATAGTGATACAAAAGCGGGAAGAAGAACAAGCTTAATGGCCCCGTAAAGCATCGCCTTGTTTCGGGCTGTTCCTGAACGCGTCCATCGTGCAAAATGAAAGATCTGTTGTAATCCATTTGGACGCCGTTATATATCATCCGGAAAATGCAAACATACGTAAAAGCTTCGGTGGTTAAATCTGGACCTTGGGCATAAAATGCTTCAAATTTTTAAGCCTGAGCCCCTAAGCCCCCAAACCGTTTAGATGCGTTACAATAATTACAATAACGTGTCTTAATTTGCAGCCTGTACGCCAAAAACCTCTGAATTCGAAATGGTCCATGTCCCCATCATCAAGACCATCGAGCGCCTAAAGCCTAAATCCTCAAAGCGAAGACCCCGAAACAGAAAATGATCTACAACCAACCCTTTAAATGCAAGGCTGCAGCGTCGGCGTCTGCAGCAGGGCTCTGAGGTCGTGGTCGCCCGGGCCTTATGGGGGTCTGCTTGGGGTTTTGAAAGTTGAGAGGTTTCATCTTTCATGGGTTTGTTTGTGTTGGTTTTTCCGGTTGAGCGGCTTAGTGATTTGGAGTTTTAGGCTTGCACGCTCAGGTTTTAGGGCATCTGCGCGCTACCCTCATCTTCCTCGGAAGCGGCAGCTTGAATGACAGAGCATGTTGGACGTTCCTTTATGTTGATTGAAATAGCTCTCATCATGTTGCACCCTTGTTGGGCGTCCTGTATAACACGGCCTATTTTTCCTGAGTAGCGGGCAGAAACCTTCACAAATGCAACATGAGCATCCAAACATTGTTTCTACCCTGACACGTGCATCCGATTTTGCAGTGCAACACGAAGATTCCCCGTGGGAGGATTTGAGAGTTTGCCTTTAAAAAAGAGGACACATAGCCAACAACCTTCGTAGGTTCTGTCGTTCCTTGCAGAGGTAGTTGCCGATACAAAAGGTACGTAGCTTGTATCCATATAACATCGTTTTGACATGATTGCCGGCTCAAACAGCGCGTGTCGACTAAGTTTTGCCATACGGGAGCGGAGAAGCAGCGTCGCCAGCCATGGCTGAAACCTTCGCTTTCAATGCTGACATTCAGCACCTCGTCGAATTCCCTCCCCCAAGCTTCAGCACCATTTTTTTAATTACCACTCGAAGTTTCAATGGAAAACGCTTGGAGAATTCAATAATGTTGAGATGGCAATAACAAATTCTCCTCATCCCCCGCTCCAGAACTTGCTTTGCGTTTTTGGTTTGTGGAAGGGTGGGGGTCGTAATAAAAATGACGGGGACATGAGTAGAACCAGGTAGTGCAGCTCGTAATACTAATAGGGCAAGTAGAAGGGAATCTGTGAAAATCGGATGTTTCCGGCCGGACAATACTGTTATTGCCACCCCTTTATTATTGCGATTGGGACTTGTTTGTATGTTTTCGGGCTCCGAACTTGTTAGAAAGCAAATTTGATTGTCAGGGATTTTTCCGGCCCGGCAACGTAATGCTATGGTCACCCCCTTTGTAAATGCTATCTCAACATTAGCACATTACCGGTAAGTGAAGGAGAGTAAAAAGAGATGTAACTATGATCATGTACCCAGCAGAGGGCTTTCAGATAAAGCCAGTCCAGCATGGCCCTGTCCACAGAGGCAGTTGATGTCCCTCATCATCAACACTTTCTACTCCAACAAGGAGATCTTCCTGCGTGAGCTTATCTCCAACGCCTCGGATGCGCTCGACAAGATCCGCTATGAATCCATCACTGACCCAGACAAGATTGAGGTGGGGTTTGGGGTTTAGGGTCTTTGTGAGGAGGAAGGAGTTTCGGGTGGAAAAGCAACAGGAAAATTACATGAAAACTGGGGGCTTCTAGGAATGTCTAGGCTGTAGGGTTTCTTGCTGGATGTTATTAGGGACTGAAGGAATGGAAAAAAGTTGAAACTACGCTGTACTTGGGGAAATACAGGTAGGTATGTAAGTATGTACGTACGTACGTACGTACGTACGTACGTACGTACGTACGTACGTAGGTATGTATGTATGTATGTATGTATAGTCATTCATTCCAAACCCTAAAAGGTTAGCTTCAGTTTGCTTTTCCAGTCCCTCCTCACAACCGGCTAGCCATATGATCCTAGCAGGAGGTTTTAACAGGAGCAATAGATCAAAACTGCCGTGGCTTGTGTGAGGCCCAGCCGAATTTCTTCATCAAGCACCTTGAGCGGCATATGGCGTTGTTGCATGTTTGGATCTGGAGTTTGCGGTAGTCTTGGGGGCATGGGGGCTAAGGAGCCCTTTTCAAGGGGGTGATAGGGTCCCTGAACCTTAGACCGTGTTGTGCTGACTTCAACCTTCAGTGATCCAGCTCTTTTTTCACACCGCCATTTTCGATTTGAAGCATTGTGGCAGTCATGTTTCTTGTTGCCTGCCGAGTTCTTGAGCCTTACTCTCGCATTCCTACGGTGGGTGCTAAAAATCCTGCACGACCCTAAGTACCTTATACCTGGGGAATTCCGGCATGATAGTCTACAAGATTTATGCAGTTTTTTGGTATCAATAGTGCTATCAACTTTAAGACTTTCGTGCTCAAGATCCCAACGCGAGACAGTAAGCCCTAAGCCCTACGCACAAGCCCTACCCCCAAAGCCACAAGCCTCACGCGGAAATAAAGGATCATCCCGGACAAGACCAACTCCACCCTTACCATTGAGGATTCGGGCATCGGTATGACCAAGAACGAAACCTGTCTGCATCTCCTGTTCAGGGTGTCTTTAGGGCCCCCAATGTCGAAGACGCCCACATGGGCAGTACTAATGACATGCCAACCTGAAAACGTCCATTTTTGTATTTCTTCACTCAGTCGCAATACTGGACGAGGATTGCAGCAGCACCATCAGCAGTCGTGCCAGCAGTAACAGCTGCACTAGCTGTAGATTCAGTGTAGCTGAGACATCGTGGTAGCACCGCCTCCAGCAGGACCAGCACCAGCAACAGAGCCAGTAGGAGCAGGAGGAGGAGGAGTAGTAGCAGTAGCAGTAGTAGTAGCAGGCGTAGTAGCAGCTGTGATGATCATGGTGGCGATGGTGGGGACCTTTCTGCACAGGCCACCATGCGGCACTGATGGCATACTTTATTAGTACTACCATTGTTACTATGATTACCATTGTCATTATGATTACCATTATCAGTTACTACTTCATTACTACTACTATTAATTACTACTATTATTACTACCATTATGAATTACTACTATTATTACTACTACTACTACTACTTTTTCCACCGATACATGGAGGTCTACGGCTGGCTACAGCAAGTCAACATGACGTAGAGGCCAGCAACGTGGAGAATCAAACCCAAAAGAAACGGGAAATGAGATCATGAACACGACTGTTTAGGGTTTAGGGTAAGGAATGGAGAGCCAGATGGAACTGAACATATAGTCCCCCTTAAGTAGACAGAACCTCAGATGGACCTCAAAATGATATTGGCAATTATTTAGGCCCCTGTAGCAGGGTATCTCAAGCAGACTTCAGAATGATATTGGTAATTGCTCTACCTTGATGTCCCGGACAGGTGGCCTATCTATATAGTCCCCCTTCAGGTTTAGGATTTAGGGTTTACTTTTCCCTAAACCTCCAGTTACACAAATAATGGGAACTGGGTTCTACATACAATATAGTTCCACAGCCCAGTAGCCTACTATTTAGGTAACTGGGAGCCCTGGGTTTTATGGGAACCCGAAGCAGTCTAACGCTGGAAGCCTCTGGGGAGTGGCGCAGCCAATTCCACGTGGCTTGCGTTGGGTTTAGGGTTTAGGGTTTAGGGTTCAGCATTTCGAGCGATCGCGGATGGCCTGGACACTCTAGGATTCTTTGAAATCCTTCCTGAAAAAACTGATCCATCTCGCCTTGTGCATTTCGAAGTCGCAGTTTCTGCGGGATGTAATGTTGTGAGGCCTATGAAGCCCCCCAACACGCAAAATATACCTCTCGGGCCAGATACTGGTACTTTCATGGAGATATTATAGACCCTTAGATACGGTAGAATAAGACGAAGTCCCCCTCTTATGTACTAGTTTGTATTTACAAGCATGTAATCTTACTTGCATCAACCACCAGTGTAACTAGCCCTAAGCCCTATCCTAAACCCTCGCGTGGCTGAGGAGTTGATCAACAACTTGGGCACCATCGCCAAGTCCGGCACGAAGGCCTTTATGGAGGCCATGGCCGCAGGTGGGATACACAATTGAGGTTTTGGGTTTGGGTTTGGCTTTAGGGTTTAGGGCTTCATTTGATGTTTTTTTTGAATCTCAGGGTTCGACGCTTGGCGAGCTTGGATGGGAACCAAGCCAGCAAAATAGCAACTGCTTCCTCGGCAGCTGCCCAGCAACCCATCTTAGGTGGTGACATCTCGATGATCGGACAATTCGGCGTCGGCTTCTACAGCGCATACCTTGTCTCAGACAAGGTGCGCGTGGTCAGCAAGCACAACGACGACGAGCGCCCCGTCAGCGAATTGCACGCGTGTTTTGCGGATTGCCTTTCACGACATGCAACCTAGCTAGGGCCCCCTGCTATACCATAGCTCATCCAACACCCCGTGTGAATATGTGAAGTACAACCCAAGCTGAAGAAGAACATTTCATTGCCTGAAGCCTGAATCCCGTTTTTTTGGCTGAGGGTTTATGACAATGCTTTTCTATGTACACTGTACAGTAGAAGGCTGATTAACGGAGAGGTCTGTTCCGAGACATGATCATGCTACAACATGCTCGAAATCTCTATTCTAGATGTTCGGCATCTACACTTACTGCGGCTTAGTGGGGAACGCGGAAGACAATGCCCACAGAATATTTGCCGTGATTCCCTACTAAGCGCCAGTAAGTACAGTAGCTTTTGGAGGTTCGCCTTTGCGTTTGCGCTACCAGGTTCTCTCCTTTAGTAACCCTAAGTAATGCGGGGTCCCGATTTGTGTAGGCCCCCCAAACAAAATAGAGTCCGTGATTAATATAACGAGGTGGGGTTCCCCCTCAAACGAATCTGGATCTTAGGTTTAAACTGAATTCAAGAGGAGGGATCTGGATCGGCTCGGGTATAGATCACAAAACCTTGTGAAGGCATTTAGAAGGGTTTAGGGTCTAGGGTTTGGGGTTTCTATTGAATTATTCTCCGATTTTTCTTTTTCGCCCGCGCAACTTCGCACTGCTATGCTGACTGATTTCGGCGAAGCTTCGCACAAATAATGCTCCGCACACTTATCGGGATCCAACATAAATCCCTGGACCGTGGCGGGGGGCCTTCCGACATGGAAATTTCCGGAAATGTTGGTTTCTTCCCTGGTTGTATTACAAAGACCCACCGATTTGGTAGTACATGAGGGGTACCTGCTCTGAGAAAAATTGGAGCAACATCCAGGGGGGCCTAAACCCTAAATCCAGAAACCAAAGAAATCCCAAAGGCAGCAATCATCCCGCCCTTCGTTGCCTGTGAAACATGCCATGCTTAGGCAGTACATCTGGGAGTCTGGAGCCGGTGGATCCTTCACCGTGCAGAAGGACACTGAGCTCGTGCACGGTGAGATCAAGCGTGGTATCATGGATGAACGTAGCACAGGAGCAATGTTGCGCTTTTTGGCTTAGAGAAAAGAAGAGGCTCCTACAGTTGCTTTGTTGCTCAGGCACCAAGATCATCTGCTACCTCAAGGAGGATCAGTCGGAGTTCCTGGAGGAGCGACGCCTGAAGGACTTGGTCAAAAAGCACTCCGAGTTCATCGGCTTCCCCATTGAGCTCTACGTGGAGAAGTCCAAGGCAGGGTGCTTAGACCGTTCCGAATCCGTGACGGTCTCCCTATCCACCAGACACGCTACAATCCCAAGATATCCCTTGTAACCGTACAATGTCAACCCGATGCAATTTTCACCCAGCAGTGCAGTGACCTCTACTGTTGTTCTGTGCGTTTGTGTTGGTATGACATTGATTACTGGGGTTGCTAGCGTTGCCTTACGTGGCATCTTTTGGGTATACCTGTGCAGGAGAAGGAGGTGACCGACTCCGAGGAAGAGGAGGAGGAGAAGAAGGATGAGAAGGAAGGCGGGGACTTTCTTTTAGGATTTAGGGGTTAAGGGAATTAGGGTTAAGGGGTTTAGGGATTAGGGTTAAGGGATTTAGGATTAAGGGGTTTAGGCGTCTAGGGTTTAGGGTTTAGGTGTTTAGAGTTTAGGGATTAGGGTTTAGGGGTTTGGGGTTTAGGGTTTTAGGGTTCCACGGCGTAGGTGTTTGCGGGGCTTGGGTTCAGGGTCCCTAGTAAGGTTTGCAATCTCTGAGTGATGGACTCAGACGTTTTTATCTCTTTAGGCTTCAGGGTGTGTAGGGTGTAGGCTTCCGGCCTCATGGGAAGTAGAATTCATATTTCCTACATAAGTTAGTGGATACGTGGTCCGTATCAAGGATTACAAGTAGGGATTATACTAATCTACAAGAGGGACCCTTATGTTCACTGATAAGGGTCCCTTAATAAAGCCTACACCCCATCCCCCAAAAGTAGGACCCCATGATGGTCATGTCTAGGGTTTGGGTTTAGGGTCAAAGTTCGGACCCCATGATAGTGATATGATAGTTATAGGCTGTAGGGTCTCAGTTTTGGCAGATTGGGGGGTTTCGAACTCCTTTTGTTAAAGTTGATTGAATCTTGAGGTGTCTCAGTCCTTCATAGCGTGTTATCAACCTCCAAGAAGACACAGCCCTGACTACGTATTAGACCTCCAGTAGGCCTCGCTGATCGCAGTTAACCCTCCAGCCTTTTCAATTCTCGCTGATGTCACCACAGTGCCAAGGAATCCAATTCTGAAGGAGTACTCCTAGATTGCTGTTTCGGGTTTGGGGACTAGGGCTTATGGCAACTTAGCTAACGACGGGGTCCAATAGGGTCCATGTAGGTAGGTCCTGAAGCCCTGATCCCTGAAAAATCCTAGCCAGGTGGTATTGTAGACATGGGACGCCGCAGCCCCCCAGCCCAGTAACATCCTATAGTCCTTCCGTTCATAGTAGCATTTCGACCTGCAAAGCCATGATTCGCCTAAGGCCAAGATATACCTAAGCCTTAACCCCCAAATCCTTGCTCCGAAACCCTCATCCCCAAATCCACTATACAACTCCAAAATATCCCTAGATATATAGTTTCCCTCAATAGGGGGACCCCAATATAGCCTCCCAATATACTAAAGTCCTTATTATGGGGACCCCCAATAGGTATCCCTAATTTTGGGTAACCCTCACATGTATATCACAAAACTAAGGTTGAACCAAGATTCGGTATCCTTCTGTGTAGCTGACCCAGGCGATGAGCCCAAGATCGAGGAGGCCGCCTCCGTGTTGATATTCTTGTTATTATGACAACGACGATTACTACTACCACCACTATATTTCTCACTATATTATTATTACAGTTTCTTTTGCTATTATGATTCTTACTACTTTTTTTTTTTACTACGAATATTGCTACTCTTCATGTCACTAGCATTTTTCCTACTACTAGTATTGCTCTTACATGCTTGTTATCATGAATATTATTTTCACTACTATTTTTATAGTTCTTAATATTACTACTACATTTTCTAGTATTACTATTTTGATATTTCTGAAGAAGCCTTATTTAGGTACCCCAGTAGTACCCTTTTTCCTTTCTTATTTTGGGGTCTCCTTTATTCTTAAGGTGATACCGGGAAACCTGGCTATAAAGTGTTTACCATTGTTAATAAAGAAATATGTACCCTGTGGATGTGTAAACTTGCTTCCTGCGTGCCAAATGCCACGATTCAGGTTAGACCCACCGCAAGGATGGTGGAAGTTATATGAGCTATAGTCTAAGCCCCTTGGAGGGTGCTATATAGGTGATTATATACGGGAGTACTATAGGAGAAGGCACCCATAAGTTTGGGAAAACCTATATAAACCCTTTATAACCCCTTTTAAAGGTAACCACCAAAAAAGCACCTCTAACTTTGGGAAACCCCCCATATCATACACAGCTGAACCCTAAACCCTAAACTCCTAGACGGTAAAACCCAAAACTCTAAACCCTTAAGCAACCTTGAAACACTAAAGCGAATTGCAGGTTGATGAGGAGAAGGAAAAGGAGGAGAAGAAGAAGAAGACCAAGCCGCTTAGAGCGCGGTTCAGCCCAGTTGGGGTTTAGGGCTGTCTAGGGTTCAGGATTTAGGGATCAGGGTTAGGGTCTGGGGTTTAGGATTTAGGGATCAGGGTTTAGAGTTTAGGGTCTAGGATTTAGGGATCAGGGTTTAGGGTTTAGTGTCTAGGATTTAGGGATCAGGGTTTAGGGTTTAGGGCCTAGGATTTGGGGATCAGGGTTTAGGGTTTAGGTACCGCGGAGTCTGTTACAGGACCGGCTCTCTAGTTACGAAACTATGCTTTCACATGTCATTGCTACAGTTTATAGGCCTCATTACCACGGTTATCCAGAGGAAGTCCGCTCTTATAACATATATTCCGACTTTTTGAAATAAAGCAAAGTTGAAGGGCCCCTCCATGTGCCGCAGTATGCTCGCGGCTAGGGATCTGTAGATACTCATAATAAAGAGCACAGTTACCACAGGGTACCAGTAAGTTAGAATGTGACTGAGCCCCAGCAGTGTGCTGCCACAAAGGAAGGTCAAGGAAGTCTCACACGAGTGGGAGCAGCTCAACAAGATGCTTAGCTGCAAGTGAACTGCTGTCGGTTTCGGCATCATGTAAGCGTGAGCAGGATGAATCTTAACAAATGCATAGACAAACCAAGGAACAAGCCGCTGTGGATGCGAAAGTCTGAGGCTCGTTGCAGGGAGGATGCATACACTAAGAGACGTCTTGTGGATAAGCAGTCCAGAGTTTCTCAGAACAATGGTCCGGTTTATGCACCTAGAATGGTAGAAGCCCTCCACTTCATGATGGAAGGATACCAGGGTGGCGCCTGTAAGCAATGCGTCCATATGTGAAGTCTGGCACAGGACGTGACTAACGAGGAGTATGCCTCCTTCTACAAGTCCCTGTCCAACGACTGGGAGGTGGGAAGCAGTGATGCTAATTGCCTGGCAAGGGCCTTGTATCAAATTCCAAGTGCGCTCTTCCCACTTTGTATGAACCCCTCTAGCCCTATCTAAACCCAATACGTTTTCCATCTTCTTTTTCAGTTTAATCTGTCTTGCTGGTAGCCTAATCCAGACCCAGGAAACAGGTAGGGGCCCATATTAGAGGCCCATGGTTCGAACCTCTGAATACATCCCCCTGAGCCCTAAACCCTTGGAGGATCACCTGGCAGTGAAGCACTTCAGCGTGGAGGGTCAGCTGGAGTTCCGCGCGCTGCTGTTTGTGCCGCGCCGGGCTCCCTTTGACTTGTTTGAGACCAAGAAGAAGAGGAACAACATCAAGCTCTACGTGCGCCGGGTCTTCATCATGGATGACTGCGAGGAGCTGATGCCCGAGTGGCTCAACTTCGTGAAGGGCGTGGTGGATTC